CACCCCCAGCACAAAACTAGACCTGGAAGGGGTAGCAGCTGTCCAGGCAGCAGCTGGCAGCCCAAGACAGGGAGGCAGAGCCCAGTCCACAGGGCCTCTGGGCTGTGTGTGAAGGGCACAACCAGTGACACAGCCCCTGCTGGGCCAAAATCTCCATTGTCACTGAGAGAAGAGCCTTCCCTAAATGGCGTGTGTCCTTGCCTTCTGGCCACATCCCCCCTGCCTGTGCCTGAGTCACCGGGATACACCAGAGGCCCCCTCACTGACTCAACATACTCCCCTGTGGACCCCTGCCCTCCTCCAGCCCCACGGTGGGCCTCCAGGGTGGTACAAGAGGTCCCCTATGCCCTCCTAGACCCTGTTCAGGTTCCCTCCCACCCCAGGTCTCTGCCTTGTTCCCAAGCACATTCCAGGCCATTGTCTCATGACGAATAGCATTTTCATGCGGGTGTTGGAAAATATGGGCACATGTTTAATGCTTGCAAGCTGTGCTCCACTGTTGACGCTGTGCTTGGGAGCCAGGCAGGCAACTCAAGCTGGGCTGGGGCTCAGCAAAGAAGTGATGACGCAGCAGCCCTGCGAGGCAGCCATCTGCCAGGCCTCCGCCGGGCAGGGACATCCCCTGTGTGCCCACTCACAGCGGGCATGGGGAAGCAGAGTGGTGAGGAAGAACTCAGGTTCTGGAAGGCGATTCTTCTAGGTCTGAATCCTCTGTTCCTCCTCCTCTGGTCAGCTGTGGGTCCTCTCTGAACCCCCGATTCCTCTTCTTTGCAGTGGGGGTGGCAACCCTGCCCAGGTTGTGTGAGGACTCAGCATGACACCGCGAGTGGAGCTAGCTCAGAGCCCAGTGCCAGGTGCGTGGTAACTCCGAGGCCACCTGTCTATACAGATCCCGGTGTGGACTGGGGACTGTAGTGGAAAATGGGCCCTCTTTCCTCCCTCCCCAGCTTCCTGACTCAAGGACCCACTTCTCACACCCTCCACCCTGAGCCTGGCCTCTAGTAAGGGCCCCGTGAGCTGGTCAACGCTTCCGCTATTATTACTGTCTTCTTGAGGCTTTGCAACCCAGTGATCTGGGATCCTTCTCCCCAAACCTAGGGTGACCTGGGGTCGAGGCAGGATGTGGCCCCCACCTCCTCCCCAGCGGCAGGATGGGAGTCGCCCTCAGTGGAGGCCCCTCTGCTGCCAGCCCCAGAACAGCCTCTCCAGGCTCCTCCTCCTGGGGCAAGGGTGGCTGAGCGAGCGGCTGGAGCATGACAGGGCCTCAGCACTGCTCTCTGTGGTGCCTACTCCTGGCCTCTCCTCTCCCTTTCCCTCTTGTGGTGCTTTAAATAGCGATACTCAGAGGGAGACATCTCGTGAGGAGGCTTGTGCTCCGGAGTCTCCTGGGATGAACCGGCTTCCCAGGCCTCTTCGGCCAGCGAGAGAGTACAAGATCTAGGTGGGGCACAGTGGTTCACACCTGTAATCCCAGCACTTTGGGAGGCCCAGGCGGGCGGATCACGAGGTCAGGAGATCGAGACCATCCTGGCTAACACGGTGAAACCTCGCCTCTACTAAAAATACAAAAGAATTAGCCAGGCGTGGTGGCGGGCGCCTGTAGTCCCAGCTACTCAGGAGGCTGAGGCAGGAGAATGGCGTGAACCTGGGAGGTGGAGCTTGCAGTGAGCCGAGATTGCGCCACGGCACTCCAGCCTGGACGGCAGAGCAAGACTCCATCTCAAAAAAAAAAAAGAGAGTACAAGATCTGGGCGGGGCAGGGCAGGGCAGCCAGGCCAGGGCTTGGCCTGAGGGGTGACAAGGGCAAAAATGTAACATCAGGCCGCCGTTTTCCACACACCGGTGTTTGCACAGCACAGAGGCCTGCCTGGGCATGAACGGAGAGAATGTGCTGGCCTGGGGGAGGGGGTGGGGGGTCATTGCACCTCCCGTTCTGTCCAGGAGACCCTTGCTTCTTGGGGATGAGTGCCCTGAAAGAACCAGAACTTTCTCTTAGAAGGGTCTGGTAGGAGGGGCATGCGTTTCACACTGAGGCTTCACCAGGGCCTGAGGTTGCAGCCGAGGCCTCGACGTCTGGGAGGACCCTGCTATGTGCTGTTCCTGGCCGAGCCATCGGGCCAGGGCAGAGCAGGTGGAGCCTCTAGGGCCACGTGGGCTTGTCGAGGTCAGGAACTGAAAAACCCAAGAGGCTAGAACACCATCAGTGGAGGAGGGACAGCAGAGGGAGGCTGGAGAGGAACCAGTGAGAGGTGTGAGACCCTGTAGGCCGAGGTGAGGGGCAGGGTTTGTTTCAGATCCAGGAGGAAGCCGCTAGCAAATCCCAGCAGGGAGGGGCATGCTCTGGTGGGCATGCTTTAGGATTGTCCAGTTGGCGTGTGGAGGGTGGACTGTGGGGGCAGGAGAAGCAGCAGGAGGCAGATCCTGAGACATGGGGAGATGGACCAGGCAGGTGATACTGACAGCCCCCTAGGCATGGGGGCGGGTGTGGGGCAGGGTGGCCGTGTAAGATGTGCTCCCAGGGTAAGGCCCCCATACCTGCCAGTGGACCCAACAGAGGGACTAGGGGTCAGGATGACTCATGGTTTGGGCCTGAGCAGCTGGGTGGGCAATGCCACCATTTACTGAGATGAGGAGGGGGTGGCAAGTCCATGGGGACACCAAGGGTTGGTTGTAGCCCAGCGAGGTTTGAAATGCCTGCAAGGTGGCCAGGCAGGGCCTTCCACCAGGCAAGCAGCTGTTCCATCTAGAGCCCAGCAGGGGCTCAGGCTGGAGGGCACGTATGGGAGTCACCGATGGGGACCACAGACCACCGGGAGGCGCAGCTTCTCCTCACCACTAGCCCCTCATCCATCCCTCCCTCCACACCCTCCTCAGCCTGCCCTCACGTGGGCGCCACCCTGCCCTCCGCTGCCACAGGTCCCATCTGCCGGCCTGGATCCCTGGAGAGCGCTGCCTGGCAGCGGCTCAGCTGTTGGCCTCTGTCATGGAGACGGCACCAGCTGCCGGCGATGGGCACTTGTGACCATTTGTCAGAACGCCCCCCTTCCTCCTGTGCCTGCCCTTCTGGAACATTTCTGTCCCACAGCCGTGGAGACAGGGCTCATGGAGGGGTTGCGGGACCGGGAGGGGCTGGGAAGCCCTGTCTGGGCTCTACAGCGGGACCGCCACCTCCTGGCCTTTGGCTTGAGGCTGCCTGGCTGGGCTTTCCCTCTGCGGCCAGCAGCTCCCCAGAGGAACTGTGGCCCCTGTGGTACCGTGTCCCACACACTGGCCTTACATGGCTTGTTCCTCGTCTGCATTCCTCGTCCTCAGGCTGCCCTCTGAGAACTTCCCCCTATTTCACAGATAGGTATTGCCCCTAATTAAAGTGGAGAAATTGTGCGGAGACATTGAGATCACACTGCTGGTAGTTGGGGACACCTGGCTGAGGCCTTCACCTCCCACCTAACCCCGGGGGAGCCCCCGGCACGGCAGGGTCCTCGTGGCATGTGTGGGGAGATGAAGTGGCCCTCACTCGTGCAGCCGCCACCCCCTCCCTGCGCCGCTTGTTTCTGTTTCTCGTGGTTTCTTGCCCAGGCCTGCAGGCTCCAGCCAGGGTAGGCTGGAACGGCCTGCCTACTGTTTGCGCTTTGTGGTCTGGCCTCTTTGTTACCAAATGCTCTGGGGTTCCTTTGGGGCTGGGGAGGAATCTTCTCCAGTCTGGCCCCAGAGCCGTGGCTGGTGTTCAGGGGCATTCGGGAAGCTGGGCCCAGGTCATGCAGAGCGGAGGCTGAGTCCAGCAACCTGGGAGGAGATGGAGGTGTTTCAGGCCTCCCACCAAGAAATGTGGCTCACCTCACTGAGCACCTGAGACCTCGGGGCCTCCAACGCCATGTGGGACCTGTGGTGGTGCTTCTCTGGAGACGGGACGCGGCGTCAGGCTCCAGAGCTTAGCCCTAGATGGGAGGTGGTGTGGACAGGGGTGCCATGCTGCCGCCAGCCCAGCAGTCAGGAAGCATAGTGCTGCACACCACCCTCTCACCAGCCACCCCACTCCTGCCCCATCTTGCCTGCATCATGCTGTTTTGGGAAGCTCCCAAATCCCTGGGACTCCAGCTGGGAAGCATTGCCCAGGCGCCCTTCCCCTGCAGGCCAGGCCTCCGAGGGCACATGGAAAAGCAGCACGGATTCCTCCAAGCCTGTCCTCACCACCCACTTCTCACTGCTAGTGTCATCTGGCCCAGGGACCCTGGGGAATCTGCTTTCATCCTCTGGGTTCAGTTTTTTCCTTTTTTATAATGGGGAGGCTCCTCTCACAAAGTCCAATCCTTCGCACTGAATGACTCTTACTAGACAAGAGATGGGAAAGGGGTCATGGCCCAGGGACCAGCAAGCTAGGCTCTGGCCCTAAGTGACTCCATGACCTTGGTCAAGTCACTTCACCAGAGTTTCACCATCCGTACAGTGAAGAAAAAACTCAGGGTCATAATGCTGATCCCACATGGATCTGTGCTCCAGGCCATGGGGTACAGCCCGAACAGCACAAATCCCTGACCTCGGGGGCTTCCAGGAGGAGTAGGGCAGTAAACAGGTGACCGATGTGTGGAGAATTGGCCGGATGAAGATGAACTCTAGCAAGAGAAAAAAGCCCAGCGGGGGACAGCTGTGTCTTGGCCTGGGGTGGCGGGCATTGCCCAAGCGTGTGGGAGTTCAGGAAGGTGACGGGGTCCCAGGGACTATTTTGGAGGCCCAGCTGTTTCTCTTGTGCCCAGGGATTAGTATAGCGTGGGACACCCTGGCATGGCTAGGCCCAGGTAAGCAGTGCTGGGAAGCCTGGAGGCAGGTGCGGCGTTCCCCCCACTCTTCCCCGCCCCCCCGCAACCACAGGCCTCAGAGTCATGGCTCCACACCGGCCTCAGGAAAGGGCAGATTTCCCCAGAACGCTGTAAAACCAAGAGGAGGCCTCCCAAGCTGAGACGCAGGTCGTCCTGCGCCCTGACCCCGCTCTGCCTGTTCTCCAGGCAGCTGTGCCTCCTGCTGAACGCGGAGAACATCTTCCACTCGATGGCAGACATCCTGCTGCGGGAGGAGGACCTCAAGTTCGCCTCGACCATGGTCCACGCCCTCAACACCATCCTGCTGACCTCCACGGAGCTCTTCCAGCTAAGGAACCAGCTGAAGGACCTGAAGACCCTGGTAGGCTGCGTCCGTGACTCCGTCCTCAGGTGTGCTCCTGCATGCCGGGGGCACACCGTGTGTCAGCCCGCCCCTCGGCTGGCCCCAGGAGGCTGTCAGGGAGAAGATGGGGTTGAAATCGAGACCTCCCCTGGTCCATTGGGAAATAGGGATCCTGGGTGAGTGGCTGCACACAGCACTAACCACACGTGTGTCATGTCACCCGCACTGAGGTCTCTGCCAGCAGAAGGGTCCATGTGCCCATCCTGACCCCCCAACAGCCCTGCCTTTTCGTTGGTTGACACCCTAGCCCCACTCCAGGCACTGCCCCCTTGAAAACAGAGGATCTGCTGGTTGTGGGCCTACCCCACTGGTCAGTGCAGCCCTCTCAGGGCCAGGCTTCTGGGTTATAACCATGCTGGTGAATCAGGGGTTAACTGCTCTTCTTGCCCTCCTTGGCCTGGCCCCTCTCTCCCACAGCTGGGCACATCTGGCTCCTAAGGCACCTGTCATAAGCCAGGGTGTCAAGTTTGCTGCCCATCCATCCCAGGCTCTGGATGAGGACGCGCCAACGACTGGTCCGAGAGAGCAGAAAGGATGCTCAGTCTCACTCCCCTATGAACAAGGAGAGATGCGGGTCCCAGGCCTCTCATGTGCTGGCTGAGTGTGGTAGCTGCAGAGGCCGTGCAGGGACAGGCGCTGTCCTGGAGGCAGGGACTCCAGGGGTTTCATTTCCCAGGCCCCCTGCCGGCTCAGACCCTGCTTGCACCCTCCCCAGGAGCCTCGGGGATATCCAGGCCCATGTCCGGGGGCATCTGGGGCCAAGTGGCTCTGCACGATCCAGGCCACAGCCCTGCCTCCCTCCTGTGGTTCCTTCCAGACATTCGCAGAGGCCTTAAGAATTTTCCTCCGGGGCAGGGGCTCCCCCAAGTGTGGGCTGGGTTCCTGGGTGGTTTCCAAGTGTTCGAGGTGGCCTGCAGAGGTGGGGAGGAGACGGCATTTAAGTGCGCTTCCTCCCTTCCCTGCCCACTCCCCCGTCGCCCTCCCAGCCCCATGGGGCTCCGGGACCACAGAGTTCTGCAGGGGGGCAGGGAGTAGGGGACAATTACTGTGATTTTGCCGAGGGCAGACATGCCAGCACAAAGGACAGCCACTCCCAGCCAGGCCCTCACAGCCACCACACAGCTCTGGGACTGGGAGGTAATGACAGGGTCTACGGAGGAGCTGTCAGCGTTTCCTTTGTGACGGCTCGTTCCCAGCCGGGATGCCTAACAGCCAGAGTGCTAAACTGGCTCCGGCTGCCCCCCACCAAAGACCCCTGGGTCTTAGACCTGTGGCCCTTCCCTCAGGTCCCCACATGGACCGGGAGGGGGCAAGGAGCGGGGGTCTCCTCACGGCTCACACCTCTTCCCCCACAGGAGAGCCAGAACCTGTTCTGCTGCCTATACCGCTCCTGGTGCCACAACCCAGTCACCACGGTGTCCCTCTGCTTCCTCACCCAGAACTACCGGCATGCCTATGACCTCATCCAGAAGTTGTATCCTTCCTCTCACTGTGGTTGGGGTTGGGCCACTGAGGGGCAGGAAGGGGTTGGCTGCCCCCTTTTCACCTAACAGGCGGGCCCAAGTGCCATGCTCTTGTCCCCACCCCTCCACTCAGCCTCAGGGCTTGTGACATCAGGGCCACCAGGACGCTGGGAACGGAGGGATGTATTTGGGAGAGCGAGGTTGGCAGCAAAGAGGGTCTCCTGGAGGGGAGCTGGCCCAGGAGAAACCCTGTGGGTTGGGATTGGGACTGAGGAGGCCCAGCCCGGCGGGTGCCAGCAGGCGATGCTGGGCTACCTTGCTGGGGTAAGAGAGAACCGCAGCTCCTGCCCCTGGGAGAAGGTGGCTGCCCTCTGCTCATTGCAGTTCCTCCTGGGCCTGGTGTGGGAGTAGGGGAGAAGGCCCAGAGCTGAAAACACAGGTGGACGGCTGGGTGAGCCTGCAGGCTTCGGCCCAGGCCTGGGCCTTCGGGGGCCACAGAGCTAGAGCCCGAGAGGCTTGAAGATGACACGCTGGGGAGAATCAGGCTGGGCGGAGGCCTCGGAAGCAGGAGGCACCAATGCTCACCTCAACACCGCGCTCCTCAAAAGGCATCCAGGGTTAGATGTTTTGTTTTGTTTTTTTGAGACAGAGTCTCGCTTTGTCACCCAAGCTGGAGTGCAGTGGGGTGATCTTGGCCCACTGCAACCTCCGCCTCCCAGGTTTAAGTGATTCTCCTGCCTCAGCCTCCCAAGTAGCTGGGATTACAGGCGTTCACCACCACGCCCAACTAATTTTTGTATTTTTAGTAGAGATAGGGTCTCACCAAGTTGGCCAGGCTGGTCTCAAACTCCTGACCTCAAGCCATCTGCCCACCTCGGCCTCCCAAAGTGCTGGGATTACAGGTGTGAGCTACCATGCCTGGCCAGATTTTTTTTTAAACACCAAGAAGCAAACTAGCCCCATCCGTGGGTGCCTGACATGTAAGCCAGGATTGGAGTGCTATTTAGAAGGCAACATGACCAGCCAGGAGTTGGGAGTCAGGAAGAAGGGGCCAGGAGGTACCTCAGTGGAGGGCTAGGTGTGGCCCTGCCTGGCTCCCCACAGTGGGCTTGCTTACCTTCTACAACCTGGATTTGCTCCTCTCAGCCACTTCTGTGACCCAGAGACTGGCGGGCCACGGCCCAGCGCGGTAAGCCTGCTGCAGCCCTGGTGAAGCCCTGCTGGCAGGAGAGGAGAGAACCCTTCCTGCCCATCCCTCCCCCAGTGGGCTGCAGCGCTGTGATAAGAGCCTCTCCCAGCCCAGGAGGGTGCAGAGGAGGCAGCTGCTGGAGCGGAACCTGGAACTCCCGAACAGGGGGGTTCCATTTAGGACAGAAGGGCGAGGAGAGGAGAAGAGACTGGTGTCCTTTGTGCGCCAAATCGTGCTTCACCAGAACCAGGCTCTGTGCACAGGAAGCCAGGCGCAGTTGGGGAGGGCGCGTGGTGCTCTGAGCTGCGGCTGTGCTGGCCCAGCAGTCAGACTTTCCTTGACTGCACACTCAGTGGGGACCTGGAGGTCACTGTGGACTTCCTTGCAGAGGTGGACAAGTTGGTGCAGCTGATCGAGTGTCCCATCTTCACATGTAAGAACCGCCTCCCACCACGCCTCACACCATAAGCCCAAGGCTGGCCTGGAGTGGGGTGGGTGGAGCCAAGCTCCAGTTGGTCTCTTTTGGCTGGGGAGGGAGGAAGAGCAGTCACCCCAGGGAAGCTTCTGGATTGTTGAGTCCCAGCACTTTGGGAGGCTGAAGCTAGAGCATCTCTTAAGGGCAGGAGTTTGAGACCAGCCTGGGCACCATAGTGAGATCTCATCTCTACAGAATTTTTTAAAAATTAGCCAGGCATGGTAGTGCATGCCTATAGTCACCACTACTCAGAAGGCTGAGGTGGGAGGATCATTTGAGCCAAGGACATGGAGACTGCAGTGATCTGTGACCGCACCACTGCACTCCAGCCTGGCGACAGAGCGAGACCCTGTCTCAGAAAAATAAAAAAAATAAAGACTGGGATGATAGGCCTGCAAGGCCAGCCAGAACAGGGCTGGGGCATGTGGCATCAGAACCTGGGTACTGCCTGTATCCCTCAAGGTGAGTCTCATGGACATGAGCCAGCACTGACAGCAGAACCCCCTTGAAGGCTGATACCAGGCCCCTGGGCTGCCCAGCCACCCCTCGGAGCCTGCTGCCCCTGCCCTGGCTCTCTGAAGTCGTGGGTCTCCCGGGTCCCTCTGCAGGTGCTCCTGTTGGCCCAAGAGCCATGCCTGCACCTCCCTGAAAGAAGAGTTGGCATTTGCTGGGAGCCAGTGGGCAGGAGCTGCCTGCTTAGTAACACTCAGGCTGAATGTGCAAAAGTGGCAGCTGGCTGGGGTGAGCACAGCTCTCGGCGCCTCGACATACACACTTTGAATGACGCTCGTGTATTTATAATGTGCAGAGAAGCCAGGCGGCCACCCTGCTGGTGCCCACCTTCCCTGCCAAGCTGACCACCCGGGCCTCTCGTACTCTCTGGCAGCATCTCTGACCCGCCCAGCCTGAGCCCTGGAGCCCAAATTGAATGCAGGGGCTGAAGAACACCCGTTCCCATCCCCTCCTGAGCCCCCTTCAAAGGGCAGCCTCATCAAGCAGCAGGGTGCCATGGGAACTGATGCCCTGGAGACAGAAGGGCAGGAGGGAGACCCTGCTCTCCGCAGAGTGCACTAAAGCCTGTCCCAAGTGTGCCCAGCCTGACATTTCACTTCCTCGAGGGCCTCCCAGGGACACAGGCGCCCACACGGCCACCTGAGGTCAGGTCCTAAAAAGACCCTGCTCCCGCTGTTGGTCTGTCCTGACTCATCTCTCCAGTTGTACATTCTTGGCATTCCAGAAGCATCCCTGGGATGACTGCCCTCCCTCCCTGACCCTGGAGGAACTCCAAGCACCTTCTCAAGCCCAGGGCTTTGCTGGGGCAGGGTAACAGGAGAGATACACCCTGGTCTCGCCCAACACCGTCCCAGCCCTGAGTCACCTGGATCCTAGAGGTGGCTAGTTTGGCCACAGGCAGTGCCCGCTTCCCCAAGGCCCAAAGGGAAGAAAGGACTGGAAACAGGCTCATGCTTCTGCTGGGCAGCCAGGCCTGGGACAGTGGTGGTGGGGGTCTCCTCTGAAGGGCGCCAGGAGGCCTCCATTCCTCTGCTCCCTGCTCACCGACACCCTGGCCCTAAGGCCTGGTTGCTCAGGCTCCCTGTGTCAGCGGGACCTCCTGTGTGGCCACTGCCGGGGTGACATAGCCCCTTTCCCAAAGCACATGGCACATCCTCCACAAACAATGCCTGGACTGGGCCTAGGGACACAAGAAAGTAGAAAACAGTGATTCTCCTGGAGAGGCTCGCAGGAGAGAAGTGAGCCCATTTCCAATCCCGCCTCCCCTGTGCGCCTTGGGGAAGCTGGGACTGCCTTGTGGTACAGCCAGCCATTAGCGGGCTCTGTGCTGCAGCTTGGGCTGGAATGAGTGCTGGACAGCCCCCCGGGTGTGTCTCTTTCCACCTGGCAGGGTGGTGGCAGGGCTGGCATGTGAGCCAGAGCCCCCAGAAGCACCTTCCAGACACTCTGGGGCTTTGGTGTGTGTTTCGCTACACACAAAAGTGTTTTTCCATCCTGCCCTCTCTTAAAGCTGTCCTAATCCACCGTCTTTCTCTCCAGCACACCCTATTTATAGCTCTCCCGTGCTGGCACGTGTGGAGCCGACTGGAGAATCTGTTACACTACGGGCCCCGAGCCCTCATATCACCAGGGAAGCAGCTGAGCAGGGGGTGGGGAACAGACCAGGCCCCACAGCGCATCTCGGGGTTGTCGGGCTGAGGTGACTATTGGAAAGATCAGACAGGCAGGTGGGCAGGTAGAAAGGAAGATGAGATCATGGAAACTGCTAGGACACTCCTGGGGGAGGCGGGAGCATCGTGATGGGCTGTGAAGGAGCCCCTGACTCGCTGGAAGCCACGGCCACCTGGCTGGGCCCACACAGCTGGGTCCTTGGGCTATGGGTGTCATGGCACCAGGTCCCTGTGGTCCTGGCCAGTCAGAGGCAGGGAGTATGGGCTGGGCATGTCCCAGAGCAGTGCCAAGTCCCTGAACCCTGCCCTCTGCACACCCCAGATCTGCGCCTGCAGCTGCTGGACGTGAAGAACAACCCCTACCTGATCAAGGCCCTCTACGGCCTGCTTATGCTCCTGCCGCAGAGCAGCGCCTTCCAGCTGCTCTCACACCGGCTCCAGTGCGTGCCCAACCCCGAGCTGCTGCAGACCGAGTGAGTGCTGGCTGGGGACTGCTGCCCCCGCCCCGCCGCCGAGCAGGGACAGGTCCAGAGGAGCCTGGTGAGGAAGGGCCGTGCTGGGGGCTGCCGAGGCCTCCCTCACTTCAGCATCCTACCCCTTTTGTCACTGTGGCCACCATCCCCGCCCCCGCAGCCACTTGCCCCTTGGCCTTTTGTGTTCCACATCAGAGCACTGAGCGAGGGATTCTAGGAGCGTTCGCACGGTGGCCAGGAGTAGCAACACTTCCAGGCAATCAGGGTCCAGCTCAGTGACGCGATGCAAAATCTAAAAACTCTGAGGGCATCTGGAGTTACTCAGACAAAGGACCCTGAAGAGAAACTCCAGGCAGGGGAAGGAGTTCCTGCCCCAGCTTAGACATGGGGGCCCCAGTGGCCATCGAGCGAGGGAGGAGCCTGTCCTGGGCACCTCCCAGGCCTCACATAGCCCCTCTCCACACCCTGTCTGTGGCAGAGGCTCAACCCTGGGTCACTGGGAGGCCACATCATTGCTAGGACCTTCTCAGCCACCTCCTGGGTGGGGTGGGAGGCAGGAGTACACTCAAGGCTCCCCTGCTCAGGTCCTGCCCATGGAAGGAAGAGGTCCTAAGCACCCCTCCACCAAGAAGATGCCCAACTTGGCAGTCTCTGGTCAGAGGGCTGCCGGCTCCCACCCTGAACCCATGGCTGGCCCCTACCCCAGAGTCTGTAGGGCCATGTCTATATTTGGTAACCCTTGGAGGCTTTGCCTCATCCACAGGCATTTGGCATCCGAGATGGAAAATTTCACTTGTCAGGTCGCCATGGAAACCAGCAGAGCCACTGAGAAGATTTACGCTGAATGGAGCGCGCCCAGCTTGCATCAGATGCCCTGTGTGTCTAGAATTCCCTCCCAGGCTGTTAGAGCCACTCAGCAGGCCTGGCGCCTTGCTCCAGCAAAGGGCCTCGGGTGCTTGCCCTTGCGATGGACACAGGCAGCCTCGAGACAGGCCTGCCCAGAGCCTCTATGCGCTCCACACTGCTGGCTTTGGCTCCCACTGTCCCTCCCACCCAGACTGGCCCTCCGGTGACTGAGTGTGGTGCACCTGATCGGCTGTCTGCCCCAGACCAGCTGGAGAGGCTCAACCCCCAGAAAGTGTGGCCCCCACCAAGACAGGCTCCTGCCTTCCCTGCCCCGTTTCCCCAGAAGGCAGTGCCCTGCAGTGGCAGGACTAGGCCTTGAGCTGGCTGCCACCCCAGCTGCTCGGGGTGCCGCCAGGTGGTCCCCAGGAGACAGTACCTGACGCAGTGTCCCCAGGGGAGCAGGGTCAGCCACGGAACGAGGCGTGCATGTAGGTTCCTGGGGCCGGAGTCCTGTCAGCTCCCAAGAGACTCCAAGAGAGGCCCAGAATCCACACCGGGCCTTGCTGGCCCAGCCTTTGCCTCGTTCCTTCCAACGCCCCATAGTGTGAGGGTCACCCTGGCAGGCGCCCAGGAGGGGAAGGTGCAGCTGGAAACAGGGAGAAGGCAGGAAGGGCTGCTTCCCTGTGACCTCCAGTCTCCCTGTGGGAACCAACCCGCCTTCCTGGGAGGCCTCCTGGCCAGGGAGCCAGCCCCGCCTCTCCCAGGGCTCTGCGTGCTGATCCCGTCTTGGGAGGGGAGTGGAGGCTCAGAGCAATCATACTCCTCAAACCAGGGTAGCAAGTTTGCAGAGAGAAGCTGGGAAAATTAGGCTTTCCTTAGAATCTCCCACGGTCAGTCAGGGAAGTCCTGAGCCAAGGGGTTGAGGCCTCTGGGTAGAAGATTCTGAGGGTCAGTGCATGGTTTGCAGGCCTAGAGTAGGATCTGGTGTGAGCTCTGCCATAGATTTGCTGTGTGACCTCCAGCAAGCCCAGTGCCCTCTCTGGGCTCTTGGTTACTTGGTCAGTAAATGCACATTTGGACTAAATGGGTGTGTGAGGCACCCCCTAGCCTTCAATGCCCTGGGTCCCCAGTCTTTCTTTGCAAGAATCTAGGAAGAGATACCATAGATAGGGGCACAGGAGCAGTGGGCATGCCAGGGGCCTTCTGAACAGCTGGGGAAGGGGTCAGATTGCAGGGTGGGGCCCGGAACACAGCTCACACCCTGGGAAGGGAGCTGTGGACAGTCCCAGCCCTGGGAAGGGCAGACAGCTGGCAGACAGGGTCGAGTTGCGGGGCAGGCCTTGGAGCCGGGAACAGCTGGGGGAGTTTGTACACTCCTCGCCCATGCCTGGTTCTCTGTGCTCCAGGCGCCATCAGGGCCCTGGGGGCCACAGCTCCCCCACCCGCTGGCTTCTGGGCCACTCCCCAGGGACTGTCTCCTCAGTGAGGCAGGAGGGAACCTCTAAGAAAAAGCTGGTGACAGGTGCATGGGTGGGATGGCAGGAGTGAGAGCCAGCCCTGAGTCCTAGACTCGCCGCACTGTGCTGCAGGCTGGCTGGCCTCAGCCTCGGTGCCCGAGGATGGTTATGAACCTACAGAGGATGTGCAGGGCCTGAAAACGGCCATTCGAGTTAGGTGGGGCAGGGAGAACTGGCCTGGCCTCTGTGCTCAGCAGCCCAGGCAGTGTCTCCCACTCTTGGGGACACAGCCCACCCTGCTCCCAAGACCTCAGGCCAGGAAGGGTCTGCCCATCACAGGGAGCAGGACTTCTTGCCACCCTAAGGGCCCAAGGAGCAGATGTGGCCCACTCTTCCCACCCCCCCCACCCCGATGCCCGTCTCCCCAGGTTTGTCATCCAGTGCTGAAAGCATCTCTCTGGAGCCCCTAAGCTCCCCTAACCTAAGGCCTTGGCTTGCCAGGAGTGTCGTGGGGAGCAACGCACAGACCCATGGGTGCCCAGCATCAGAAGACACACTTTAGGGTCACACCTGTGGCCTTGGCCTAAGTGGGTTAGAGGAGCGTCTGGCCACACCCTGGACTTAGGGTTGCAGAAGCTCTGGGGTGTCCCTTGGCCTCCTCAGAAGTCCAGGCTGCTCTCTTGGAGCAGTGGCACCTGGGACCCAGGGTTACTGTGCCTGGGAGGTCCCTTCCCAGGAGCAACCACAGCCTAGAACACTGCCCGAAGCCTGGCTCTCTAGAATGGGCCCCACCCGGCTGCTTTTGATCTTTGTTGAACTAACGTCAGCTGAACCCCGCTAGGGAGGCAGGAGCGCCAGGCCCAGAAAAGCAGCAGCCGCAGCCGTAGACACGTCCAAGATGTTTTCTGGTGGTGCATCTTCAGCAGGGAGGCGGGAAGGGAACAGGTGTGGGCAGGCAGAGCTGAGCAGGGGTGCAGGAGGCCGCCTCCAGGCCCCAGATGGCATCTCAACTGTAGGAAGAGTCCCCCTGCCCCGGGCCTGCCCAGCAGGCTGGTGGGCCATCAGAGGCAACTGTCAGGCTCTGGCCGTCAGGCTGGACTGAACTCATGGCCAAGAGTTCATTTTGGGGGAGCTCCATTGTGTGCCCCCCAAAATGGCCTCCTTTATTTCCACCCTCAAGCTGCTGGGCCTCGGCTGGCCTCACGTTGAAGGGGCAGAACTGTAGCCACAGTGGCACCCGCCAGGTACCTAAGCTGAGGCTGGACACCAGGCAAAGCTCTTACACATCGTGTCAAAGCATCTTGGCAGCCACCCCAGGGCGCTCCTTAGGTAGCCCTCGCTTTGCAGACGAGGAAACAGTCACATGCCCAAGTCACACCGCTAGGAAGCGGTGGAGTTATGGTTGGGTCCAGGTCTGTCTAGTTCCTGTGCTCTGCCACTGCCTCCACGCCACCCCGCCCCCACCCCGCCAATTGGCATCTTTTCATGAACTTGAAGGGCCCCAAGATTCTCAGCTGAGCAGCCCACAGTCTTCCTGAGACCCCTTTCCAGGGCCACCAGGCCTCAGGGCCTGGAAACAGATGCTTCCTAGCCCACACAGATCTCCTCCAAACCAGTGAGGCCAAAGGGAAGGAGCAGAACATTTCATGAGACACTGCTGGAGGGTGAGTAGGAATGGGACAGGAGCCCAAGGGGATCTCATCCCCAGGGGCAAGCTAAGCACTGGGCTTGACAAGGACAGCAAGGCTACCGCATTGCACGATTATAGGGAGCATCATGCACACTAGCTGTGCAGCGCACAACCTATGTTCCTGTACAGAGCAACTGGAGAGGGGGGCAGCAACAGGAATGTAGGAGCTGACGGCATGTCCAGTGGTGAGACCGGCTTTCCTCCTCCCAGGGACAGTGAGTGACTGCAGGCCTCAGGGCCCCAACACTCAAAAACAAATGTCCTGCCAAGTGGAGGGCCCAGCAGAGGCTCTTCAGCAGTTCCCGTTCTCCCCAGTCCTAGCCCTGCCTCAGAGAAAGGGCCAAGCTGCCACCTCCCCCTTCTCCCCCGACCCTGTTCCAGGCCCCAGCTGGCTTCCTGGCTGGCTGCTAGCCCTGGCTTTCACCCCAAAGGGAGCCACTCGTAAACAGGAAATGCTTCCCAATGCGATGCCTGCTCTGGGCGCCATCACCAGCCCACAGGCCGAGGGCAATAGCCAAGCAGCAGTGTTGGCTGTTCCCACCAACTGCGGAAGACGGGGATGTTCAGGGGCTTCCCAGCTCTGGGGCTGGCTGTGAGGGAAGAGTTGCCAGGCCTGAGATGCCCAGAGGCTGAGCCCAGCAGCCTGTGGCTCTGCCCTGACCCCACTGCCCTCCAGCAGTAACCCCTCTGTGAGCGGATCCCCTGACACTGAGCGTTTCTGCTCCCTCTTCCCAGAGACAGTCTAAAGGCAGCCCCCAAGTCCCAGAAAGCCGACTCCCCTAGCATCGACTACGCAGAGCTGCTGCAGCACTTTGAGAAGGTCCAGAACAAGCACCTGGAAGTGCGGCACCAGCGGAGTGGGCGTGGGGACCACCTGGACCGGAGGGTCGTCCTCTGACAGGCCTGGCACAGAGGAGGGCCCACCGAGTGGTCCCATGAAGCACTCAGGGTTGTCACGCCCTCCTGAGGAGCTCAAGGACCTGCCTCTCAGGACCAGGGCTGGGCCTGACTGCAAGCCCAGGGCGCTGTTGGGGCCAGAGGCTGCTCTGTCTGCCCAAGCTCCTCTCAGAGTCCAGCCCTCAGGCCTCCAGCGCTGTCAGCTGCACCCTAGCATTCAGACAGAGCTGGCTGCCCACCCTGTGGGGGGCTACAGCCTCAGACATCACTCATCCTCTGGAATCATCCTCTTTCTAATGCCCTCTTGGAAAAAGAGCTTGCCTCTCCTCCAGCACACCAGAGCTCTGGCCTTGTGTGTATATGTACACATACGTGAACACATACCTGTGTGTGTGTGTGTACTTGTATGCACGTAGGCACCAGCACAAAGATCTGAATGATGCACCCCACCCCCACCCCAATAAAGAAATAAGAGAAAATCCTCAACACGAGCCGGCCTGCTCCTTCCCAGCTGATATCTGCAGTTGCCCGGGGTCCTCACCCTTTGTCCTGGAGATCGGGGCTCATGATGGCCCCAAGGAGTACTGGCTGTCCCAGGGCCTGGTGCCTGCACTCACCTGAATGGAGTCATGGGCCTAGAGCCTAGGTCCCCACCTCTGGAACCCACACCCTCCTAGAGGGCACCACGCACCGCCTGCCCTGGAATCCTGAACCCTGCCTTCCCCAAGCCCCTCATCTGCCTTTCTCATCCTGACTCCCTGGGGCAATGGGAGTTCCCCACTGGGGAGATGGGAGCTGAGCCCCAGGAGTTCCTGGATGAAAGGGCAATGCATACTGCAGAACACTTTGCAGATTACTGCGCAAGGGGAGGAAAGGCCCAGAGCAGTCCAGGGAGGGGCAGGTGCCCCAACCACTGCTTCAGCTGAAAGAGCCCCTCCTCACCCGCAGGGGTACCACCTGCCCCCAGGCTCTGGGAACCCTGGGCTTGGTCTCCAAATGAGCTTGTAATTGGCTCCCTGCCGCCCGTGGAGTAGGGGAAAAGGAGCTTATGCCTGTTCTTCCCCCCAGAGTGCGCCCCCCCACCATCATGCTGCCCCCCAGGATGGGTTTCCCTGCCTGGAGTGTCCAGGACAGGCTGCACTTGACATTGCTACCCCATGCACGTGTGTGCATCACACCCACCGTGGACTCAGGCAACAGAGACCAAGGACAGCCCAGCTCTGCTCTGCTGGTCCGAAATGAGCCCCCACCCGCGAAGACGGAGGTTGTCCAGGGCCCAGGAGACCACCACTGCCCCCCAAAAGCCCAGCCTCAGGCACCCCATCTGGGTGGCATCTGCACCACTTGGAAAAGGAGCCAAGAAACTTGGAAGGGTCCGAACTTAAGGAGGAAGGTCTGTGCGTGCGATGAAACGTCTTAAGGCGGGCGGTCCCACGATACCCCGCGCCCTATTCTGTGCAGTGTATCCCATTCAGCCGATACACCGACCAAATCCCGCCACTGTATCCACTGCCCGTCTTTCGAAGCGCGGGAAGGCCCCCGCCCCAGGCCAAAGGCCGGAAGGTGTCGTGGAGCGCCTACCCAGGGACTGAGAGCCACCCGTCCCGCTCCCGAGTGGGCAGGGCTGGCCCCGCCCCAGCGCCGCCCCCCGACCCGCGGTGGCGCCCGAGCCCGTCGGCCCCGCTCGCCGGACTAGTCTGGCAGCGCCGGAGCTCGGATTTCAAAGCCCTGGTTTCTGGCCGTGAATGGGCCTGCGCCCGCGCGGCCGTTCCCACAGCCCCCTCCCGCGCGGCCCGCCCTCCTTCCCTCCCTCCCCGCGGTCCTCCCTCCGCCGCGCCCACGTGACGCCCGAGCCTCGGCGGCTCGGATTACCGCCGCCGTCAGTCCGCGCGCCGAGGCTGCGCCGCTAGCTGTCCGCGCCGCGCCCCCCGCGCCGCCCGCCAGCCCCGCTGCGACATGGCCCGCGCCGCCCGCCGGAGGCCCGCGACCCCGGAGCGCGGCGCAGCCGGCCGCTGAGCGCGGCCTGGAGGCGGGAGGCCCGGCCCGGCCTCGGAGCGAGCGCCCGCGCGGCCCGGCCCCCTCCCCTGCGCGGCTCCCTGCGCTCTGTGCGCCCCGCCGCCGCCGCGGCCCGGCCCGGCCCGAGCATGGAGACGGCCGAGAAGGAGTGCGGCGCCCTGGGCGGGCTCTTCCAGGCCATCGTCAACGACATGAAGGTAACCGGGGCGCGGCGGGGCCGGGCGCGCGGCGGCGGGTGCGGGTCCCCCCGGGGACGCGTGGCGGCGGGTGGCCGAGCCCCGTGTGGCCGCGCGCCGCGGTGTCTGTGTGTCCTTGTCTGAGCGCGTCCTGCCTGGGTCTGCTGGGCGCCCGTGTCTCCGGGTGCCCGTCTGGGGGTGTGGGTGCTCATGTGTCGGGGTGTCCGTGCGGTGCCCGCGGTGGCCCCGTGGGGTCCTGACCCAAGCTTGTGCACACGCAGGCTCCCTGCGCCCCAGACCGCCAAACCATGAATGGGATTTGGATCCAGGACTGACTCTAGGGCCCTTTAACGAGTCTGGGGTCTTGCCGACCTCCGCCCCCTTCCACCACCATGTTCCCCAAAGGCCCCGGAGCCCAGACAATGCTGTCACCGCCAAAGCAGGAAAAAATAATAAAGCGGAGAACCGTTAACTCCTTCCCCGCCGACCTGGGCCTCTGCGCCCGACCCTGAGACTGCCTCCCCCAGCCCCGCCCCACCCCCACAACCCCAGGAAGCTCCGGGACTCCAAGGTCCCCGGGCTGAATGTCCCTGCATCCCAAGGATAGGCCTTGATCATCACCTTGGGAGGAGGCGGGATGAAGGTTGGGGTTGGTGGAGCAACCCCAAGGGAGCGCTTTTCCTACTCCATTACCACCTTGGACTCTCAGCTCCGAGCTCCCCCTCTCTCCCAGGATTGCCTAAGGTCAGGCTGGAGCTGGCCACCCATTCATTCCTCACACCACCAGGTGGGGAAACTGAGGCCTGGGAATGGCTCAAGGTCATTAAGGAGACTGTTGGACCCTTCCCCTGACCTCAGCCCCCATTTTTTCTCCTGGGAAAATGAGTGGGTTCCTCTCCCCAGACAAGGCCAGGGTTTGGCAGGGCTGCCCTACGCTGACTAGGCAGAGAGGGCCCAGCTCCAGTGATAGGGTGGGGACCAGGAACCAGCATTCCTGCCCTCCTGCCCTGCCCCCTTTCTTTAGCCTAGGATGAAGGGGCAGGATTTGGGGGCTGGGAGGAGAACGGGAAAGAACGATGCACCCCACAGGATCTCCCAAGGGCCCCCACCCCCACACCCCAGCACACACTCTCCAAGTGCACAACACAGAATCCCACCAGGCCAGGGGTGGGGATGACACCACCCAGCACAGTGCTGCTAGGACAGGCCCCGTAAGGGGTGGAGGTTGCTGGCAGGTTGGAGGTCTAGGCTCCTGGTGCTGCCAGGACAACAGCCCCAGGGACAGCTGCCAAATCTCTGCCCCTGGAAGAGTCCTGAAGCCAGCCTGGCCTGGGACTACCCAGTTAGCGGCTTGTAGATGCCCCCCATACCCTGCCCCTTATGGTGCGCTCCCCCTGGGACCCCCATCTCTTGCAACTGTACATCCAGGCCCCTCCACTGGCCCCCAGCAGTCCCCGTCTGCCCTGTGGACATCACAGCCCTGGCCCCAGGATCCTGTTCTGGGACTGGCAACACAGACCACCCTCCCCTGTCCGATCCCAGAGCTGGCTGAGGATGGGCCTTCCCGCACCCCACCACCCACCACCACTGGCAGCCTCATAGCAACCACTGCAGAGAGCAGCAGATTTTGCTCGTAGAAGCGGACCAGGACTGTCTCTCTCCCTCTCCAGCCAATTTGCAAGGAACTTTGGGATGAGACAGAAGGAAGTGGGCCCAGATCATAGCAAGAGGTTCAAGTAAGACACCGGGCATGATTTGCTGACATGTGGAGGCAAAACAGAAGAGGCTTCACTTGGGATGATGCCAAGGACAGATATGCCCCTACCTATGACACAGGCATGTGTTCAGGGGCCATGACCAGGGGCAGAGAAGGGGACGAGGCCACCTGGAGGCTGATCACCTGGATTTGGGGAGCAGCTTCTGGATTTTCCCCTGGGTGGCCTGAGCAGCAGGGCCTCCATAGAAGAAGGGCGGCCATCAGCAGCCAGGTTGAGGACACTGAGCTTGCCCCATGAGGCCACCCCACAGTGAGTCTGCAAACCCCACAGAAGCCCTCCCCTGGGCCTCTGGGAGACCCTGACCTTGAATTGAGCGGGGGCCAAGGTCAGATGGCCACTGGTGTCAGGCTGTCCACTGAAACCCAGAGAGGGGCAGGGACTTGCCCAAGGTCATAGGCCTGGGCATGGCACCTTCAGCAAAGTGAATGGGGCCTCCACCCAGTGCTGGCCCAGCCAGAAAATGGGGCCATACTCTTCGCCCACCCCTCAAGAGTGGAGAGTGTCACCTGGACACGCAGGCCTGGCCAGGCCTCTGCTAGGGGACCCTGCAGAGGGCACGGCTTGCATAGTGTTAGCTGGTGTGAACTGAGCACTTACTGCCTGCTGGGCGCTGCACCGACTGCTGGCTGGGCAGCGCCTGCTTCAGTCTCCACACTGACCCAGTGGGGCAGGTGCCCTTCCTCTCCTGATTTTACAGGTGAAGAAACAGGCTCAGACAGGGGGACCTTGCCCAGGGGCACCTGGAAAGCCCAGTCCCTGGGATTGGAGGCTGGATTGCTCACCCACACTCCACATCTGAACCACAGCCGCTGCCAGGACAGAGACAGAGCGTCCTCCTCCCTGTCCGCTTGGGCGCCTCTAGTGACGAGCCCTCCACCTTCCCACTCCAGAGCAGCCACTGTGCTTGGGGCAGAACTGGGTGTCTCTCGCACCCCAGCAGTTGCCGCCACCTCCACAGCCTTGGCGCTCAGTGCTTGTCTCCCTGCTTTGTAAGAGAGTGCCTCCACCTGGTGTGCAGTGACTAGGCAGACATGGGATCAGGTCCTGACCCTGCCACCCGGTGGCCGTGGGCAAATAAGCTAACCTCTACGGGCCTCTGTTTCCTTATTGGTGAAATGGGGGCAGTCATGGTATTCATCTCATGGGGCTGTTGGGAAGGTTTGCCTGGGCCTGGGCCTGTCCCAGGTGAAGGCTGAGGATGCTGTTCCTGGGGCACTGGCTGCTGGAGCCCTGTCTCTTATTTTTAATCAGTGAAATTGACCTGTCCATGAAGAGGCGGATATAAACAAATAAGACGTATGTTCCTTGTCTCTGGGGTCCTTTATGTGGTTGCCGTGGAGAGGGGGGCAGGTCCAGGTCCTTAGAGACTGAGGCATCTAGGTCCATCTGCTACGGGGATGTGGCCTGGCCTCCCCTGCACCCCATCTTGTCCCCTCCCCATGGGGACAGCCTTTAATCTCTGCGACTGCCCGAGGGCTGCTCAGGGGCTAAGAAGGTTCCTGGGTGCCAGGATAGC